TTGAGAACCTGAAATTGCCAGGCACTGTGCTCAGTGTAACAAATGAAAGACAAAATGCTTTTGCTCCTGAAGTTTACATCTTAGTGAGGGAAAACGGAAGACAAGTACATCTAGACTAGATATATACATACTTATATATGAGGTGTCAGGCACTTGTAAATGCTACAAAGACTAAAGCAAAGTAAGGAGATTTAGAGGACCAAGGGGGGTGTACAGTTTAGAACAGGGCTGCTCCCCTCAGAAGGCTGATCTTGAGCGAAGATGAAAGTGAGAGTGTGGGTCTTGCTGATGCTGGTCAGAAATGGTGCTCTCGAGAGGCCGGCAAAAGCAAGGGCCCTCTGCAAGAGCTGCTCCCTGCATTCTAGGCACAGCAAGGATGCCAGCTGCTTGGAATGGTCCAAGAAGGGAAAAAGAGTGGTGGGAATGACAGACCATATCACGAGAAGCCGCGAAGGCCATAGTCGTACTTCACACTGAGTAAGGTGGGAAGCAACGAAAAGTTCCGGGTGATACTGTCAGAGTTATGTTTTTTAAAAATAGAATTTTGGCTCTGTGTGGAGAACAAGCTGTAAAGAGCAAGAGCAGACGTGGAGAGACTGTTCAGGAGGCTACTCGAGTCATCCAGGTGAGAGCTGTCAGGAGGAGGGGGTGTGGTGAGAAGTGTCTGGATTCTGGTTTGCATCCGAGCAAGCCCTGCAGGATGTGCTGATGGAGCAGGCCTAAAGTCTGAGAGAAAGGCAGGATTCCAGAAGGGTAAAAGCTATTGGAAAGTTTAGCGAAGGGGAGAAATCAGATGAGTTAAAATAACAGCAACTGTTAACTTTTATTGAGTGTTTACTGTATGTCAAGCATCATGCTAAGTTCATTATATTACATCATGGAATCCTCCTGACAACCCCGATTTACAAGGAAGGAACTCAGCCTGAAGAGGGTAGGCACCTTGCCAGTCATGGGGCAAATGTTGGGCAGGGGACTGGGCCCCCGAGAAGTCTGGCTGCAGAACTCACACCCTTCATGCTCCTTGTGATACAACCTCCATTGTCTCTGAGAAGTGAAAGGGTACCCAGAGCTGGGGAAAGGGAGGGTGGGAGGCAGGGCCAAGGTCGTGAGCTCAAAAAGAACGTTGACTGGTTAATGGAAAAATATGCACCAAAGATGAAATAAATAACAAGAGAGCTATGGTCAATGCTTGCTGTAGGGGGGTCATTGGTGTGGTTTGAGGCTCATCCTCTGTGGCTGCTTGTGCCATGTCTGTCTAGATGAAGAAAATGATTGTGCTGCAGTTTCTCTCAATCTCTTTAAAACTGATGCCAAGCACTGAAGGTGCCCAGTCACTGAGGGGTCCCCTCAGCGGCCACAACTTGTGTGGAACGGGTTCCGGGCTCCCAGTCCTGTGAGATAAACATCCCCTCGATCTTGTTTAGCATAAACACTGACACTGAAATCGAGTCCACTGGTGAGATGGAAGTTGAGCAATGACATATTTATTATGCTGAGCACTGGCTTTGACACTTGGAGGAACACCAGATTAATTCAAGACACACTTCCAGCCCTAAAGGGGCTTACAGCGTTGGTTTGGCTGGGGGACCACCCAACATCCATTAAGGTGGAAACCAAATCTTCACTCTGGGCTCACTGCGCTGCACAGAGTGACAGGCCGGGAGATGAAGAGGGCCTCGGTGCATGTGGCACACACGCGCGACAGGCCTGCAGCCCCCAGCCCGTGTGCATTAACCCCACGAGCAGCCCGGCTGCGGAGCGAAGGTGGCTGTGTGTGCATAAACACTGTCATTTCACTGGGACTTCTATTTCATCTTTGAACCCTGGCTTCAAAGGAATACTGGCCTTATTCCCGTAGCTTGCCTTGCTTTGAAGCGTACGGCTTTGCATTGCAGATTAAAGTGAAGACATTCATCAAGGAAGAGATCTGGCCAGCCGCTCCCCAAACTGCACCCGAAGCAAAGCCTTGAAAGGTTCCCATCGCAGGAGCAGCGAGCGGAGAGGGCCGAGCGCGAAGGCTTGGAGCCGGGCCCTCTTGCTTAGATCCTGAAGGCAGCCCTGGCATGACACAGCGCTTCCCCCTGAGCGCGGGGCAGCTTTGCCCCGACAGTCTGTCTGTCTCGGCAGAAAGGGCAGAGTTAACGCAATAGCCCTGACCCGTCCTGCTCATTTTACCTAAAGCAGGCACTGTCATAAACGAGGCCAGCTCAATCGTTAGGCAAGTGCCTTGGAATTCTTCAAAAGACGTGTCAGGCAGCACCATCTGAAACCTGGCTGACGATTCTGTTAATTTTCTTTCCTATGACTTTCCTTTGTTCATTCCTTTGAAAAGAAACTGTCCTCTCTCCCTGGCTCTCCTATCTTGGCTCTAGGAAAGCAGGCTGTCCACATAGCCCTCTCTGTTTCTTATTTATCTCTTTTCTCTCTTGTGAGAGAAGTGAGGTAAGGAACTTTAACTGGGAAGTTAAAAATGATAACCAAATAATTCTTTCATTTTAAGGCTAAGAGAGAAAAACCGAGGGAATTATCTCCCACCTCAGAGGAATAAAAATTGATGATAGACAGTTATCAAAGGAGAAACGATTATATCTTTAATGCAGTGTTTCTGCAGCTCTTCAACTGTGATCAAATACACAGAGTGAGTTCTGTGTGGGGTGAAGTGGTCAACCCAGAGGAAAGAAGGAAATGGTTGCCAAGTTGGGTACATGTAAACCATCTGATTCTGACAACACATACACGAGAGGGCTTAAAAAATATGATAATTTTAAGAATAACTTTTTTCTAGTTATTCATCTATAAAGTAAGACCAAAGGATAATTCTGTTCATTGTAAGCTCATTTAACTTGCTCTTTGGCTTAAATCTCAAATAATGTTTGCCACTAAGAAATGCATGAAGCTCAAGAAGATCATTAAAGGGCTTCATGAGAAACCAGAGGTGCCAGGCCAGTTTTTCACACAACAGGACAGCTCATGTGGGAATGGAAACAGTTCTATTTTTAGCTTTAGTTTTAAAATGTTGAAAGATATCTGCTTATTCATATCATATCCATATCCCTTCATTTACTATACTCCCTAAATTTGGGTGTGGCCATGTGACTAGTTTTGGCCAATGGACTGTAAGCAAGGTGATTAGTGTCACTTCCAGGCTGATGCTCTCTTTCTCTCTACCATGGTGACCATGGGCTGAGATGGCTAAGCCTCAAGCTAGCAGCAGAGTGAGTTACTGCCCCCATGGAGGCAAACTATGCAGAGAGTTGTCTGATTTGCATTAGACATGGTACGAACAAAAAAATAAACTTTGGTTTTGTTAAGCCATTGAGAATTTCAAGGTTCATTTGTTATGGTGGCATAACCTAACTTATCCTGACTAATCCAGGACCTTGGAGTACATGTAGTCTTACCTCACTTCCATCATAAGAATCCTTCCTACAGCAGCCTTGAGACATAGTCCAAATACTTCTTGAACACCTCAGGGATAATGGCAAATAACACAGCAAGCAATCATATAATCCTTACTACAAAGTTGTTTTCAGACATAATTTTAAGTATTTGACATGTCTCACAAAAACCTTAGCTCATCAACAATATTTCCCTTATTTTATAGCTGGAGGAACTGAAGCACAAGGAAGTAACTTGCTCAGGGCTAAACAGATAAGTTACTTGCCTAAGGCCACACAGTGAGTATGTAGTATCCTCAGTGTCAAAGCCAAGCAGCTGCTTTCACTCTATGCCCATACCCATCGCACCATGTGGCTTCCCTAGATTGGATTTTCATTTCCTTTATCAGACAGACTGTTCAATAAGACACTGAATCATAAAACCCAAATGACAAGCCTAGAGATCAATCAATAACCACATTTTACATGGAGGAGGAACAAAATCACTCTGAGAGCCATTTTATGCTTCTGTAGAAAAGGTCTCTCTTGGGAGTTTTCAGACTCGTGACCTGGGGATCACTGGGGCTCAGTGGAAAGGTCTCAGGGGGCCATCAGTTTGGAAATTAGAACAGACCAACCCAGTTCTAATCTATTTTATATAGTAGGCTGCTGGGTAAAATTTGTATGTGAACATTCTGGTGCTTTGACAAAACTGAAAAAGAATGGATTTCCCCAGACTTCCACTGAAGTAGCAGCCTTGTAAGGTTGAACTAAATAATAGGACTTCACATCAGCTGGGAGGTCAGGCAGGGCACAAGGATTGTCTAGTCCAGTGGCCAGTTCTGGGCCAGGACAATTTGCTGCTTCCATGAATGCCTTCACTAGATTGTCCGGCAGTAAGAACTCACCACTGTTATCTATGTTATATATATACTATGTTATCTATGTTATATATATACTATGATATGTAGTAGGAACTCTATAAACTATATCTGAAAGATAGAAGGAGATCTCTAAGAAGTCTTGGTGAAACAATATTTCAAAAAGAAGATTAAGCTCATTTGTGTTGAACAGAGTAGCACACTTTGGCTGTGGTGACCCGATGTCAAAGAAATGGCTGGAGAGTTATCATTGTGTGTTGTTTCGTCCATATATTCTCAAATGGCCAGGGGTGGATTTCCTTTCTTGTGAAAGAAAGAATGAAAGAAAGAACAAAGAATAAGAGGAAAGAGGAAAGATTTTTTTGAAAAGAATCTTAAATTGACTGACAGCCCTGAGAAAGCGCAGGCAAACACATATCATTGTTTGCTTCATTTTAACACAACCAATTACACAAAGTTATCCAAATATGCTGATCACACTAAGAAGTAAATTAGAAATCTTTCTTTGCATTAAAAAAAAAGCATTCCTTTTTTGTGTGCTGACAGCAGTTCTAGTACATGTATGTACTATGTATGATGTGTATTAGGTACTATTTATGTACACATGGGTTGATTTACAAATTGGGTTACATTAAGTCAAAGGTATATATTTCAGAAGAGGAAAATTGATGGGGCAAAAGGACACAGGGAGAGGTCTAGGAAAGGATGTCATGGGAGCTGTGCTCACCGCAGGCCCTCTTACCTTGCGTGGTCCCATCCAGTCCCATGATGAATTTCATTGCTCTGATGATTTGCTCCGCTATCGGGGGGCTCATGGAGGTAGCATAAGCAGCACTATGTGAGTGAACCCGTAGATAATCCACAAGGTCCTTTAATAAAGAGGGAAATCCAAAAAGAAGGCAAGTAAGTCTCAGTGGTGGTGGGGAAAATCACATCTTGTCCCAACCCATTCATCATAGTATAAGACATTGGATTCTTGAATGTGGTCCAATATTTAATGGGCATTATTAAACTTTTTTTCTATCCCTTTTCTTAGTTTCTCCCTCAAAAACTTGGGAGGTATACAGTTAAGGCTGCAAATCTGTAAGGCCAAACCAGACGTGCAAAAGAAAAATGACTTCCAAACATTTGTTGAATACTTAGTATGTACAAGCACTGGATTCAGGATTGTTCAAAGAGTAGAGGATGTGATCTTGCCATCGAGCACATTACATTAAGTTGTGCCCTTGGAAAATTAACGGTAGGAAAAGTAACAAGACATACAAACTGGTATATGCAGCAGGGCTACAGAAGACAAAGGAAAGAGAGGGGGTATTGCTAGCCAGAGCAGGTAGGGAAGGTTCCAGCGAGAAAGGGAAATTAAGTCTTGATGAATAAAGACAAATATAGAGCAAAAGAAAACTTGGGTGGGGGGATGGAGAGGCAGAAGGGAGAAGTGGGAAATTAAACCAAAATGTAGGTCAGAACCAGATAAACTCTGGTCATGTCTTGGCCGGTAGGGAACTACTGGAATTTTTGTGCCATACTCTTTGGAGTGCCGACCCACTACAGAATGCTGGTCTTCAGTGGGAGGAATGATTCTCCAACCTGTATGCCTGACTCCTGATGCCAAACGTAAGGTCCCAGGGGAGTATGCTGAGCACCTGAAGAAGCCCCAATAACCTAATGTCCCTGTCAGGAGGGCCTCAGAGCTGGCATCTGGAGGCGCTCAGCTCTAGCTGGGAAGACCATCTATCTGCCCACCTGTACTGGCCCATTGCCTGGGTGGGTTTCCCCCATATTTGGAGAGTATGTGTGTGATGATGGCCTGACTAAGGCCCTGGCCACAGGGCATTTGTGAAGCTCACTTTGGAGGACGGTGGGAGGGGCGGGGTTCAAAGAGAGAGGCAGCCATTGCCCAGAGTAGCTGCAGCTGGGCTGTCCTTCACGGCTCTATGTTCAGGGCCCCTCTTTGAGTGGCAAGGGTTTTCTGTTGAGAGCTACAGCCTCCCGGCAGGATGCTGAGGAAGCCAATGAGGAGGCATGGGAGGGGTGCAGGAGGCAGGATGATGGGGGCTCCTGTGGACCCGAGTCAGGAAAGGGCTGTTTCGGGGAGGTGGTCTGGCCTTGAAGGGTGGGGAGATTTGGATGTAGTCAGAAGAGGGAAAAGGCATGGACACCGAAAGTAGGAAAAAGATGGCATCTTAATCAGCACACAATGGAGGAGCTAACTGGGTGTAGAGAGAGAAGTTAGTGTTTCCAAAAAAGGTGATGAAGGGTTGTCTGCTTGAAGGGAGATATGACCTTGGAGTTATAGCACAGGCTCTGGAACCTGGTTGCTTGGGTTCAAATCCTGGCTCTGCCACTTACTCATATGTGACCATGGGCAAGCTACTAAACCTCTCTGTGCCTTAGTTTTCTCTGAAACATGAACTAGGGGGTAATGCTTACCTCAGAGTCATCATGAGGATTAAGTGAGTTAATACACATATGGTGCTTAGAATAGTATCTGGTACATAGTGCATACTTGATGCTGTTGGCAATTATTGATGGATTACTAACTTGGAGATTCTTAGAACTGGGAGCATGGGGTGAGAGGAGGGGACCAAAATATAAAGACTCCTTGGAGTCCCTTTATTCCAGCTCCCTCATTTTGCAGAGGGTAATGTTCTAAGACTATGTAACTAGACACTGGACCCAGCTCAGCAATTCCTCCATCTTTATTGGAGTAAAAAGAGAGGAAAAGAGAAGCTTTAAAGAAAGGAGTACCCAGACCTGATGACAGATTACATGCTCTGAAGAGATGACATGGCTGATATAGTCACTGGTATATCCATAACTGAAACTCATTGGCTGCTTGAGGGTCCATTTCAAAAACTTTACCTGTGTTAACTCATTTTCACTTCACAGTAACTCTCTGAGGTAGGCACTATTTTTATCTCCATTTTATAGATGGGATTGCTGAATCACAGAACGGGTCAGAAAGTTAGCCAACAAACAGTGGTTGGATAACAGGATTTGAACCCAAAGAGCCTGGCTCTAGAGTCCCCACTCTTAGCACCACACTATATTACCTCTCCAGACCAGAAGAGGGGGGACCAGGAGGGCAGAGCAGACCACCTGCATTTCTACTTTTTCCTAATCCCTAGAGATTGTTCCTCCTTTTTGGAAGAGGGTGGGAGAATCCTTATATGCTCAAGCATTTATAGTACTAAACAGTAGATTGCATTGCATCAGTATCAAATGTTCGTGTCTATTAATCTTATTTCTCCAAAGAGACTGAAACCTTCTTGAGAGCAGAGAACAGAGTTAAACACTTCTTTGAAAATCCACAGTGGTGGGTACTTTAAGGATTGAGGAAGGATGGTGAGGGTCCCCGAAGTACATAGGGGGAAACTGAACTGCATTCTTAGGAAAAAACTGTAGCCATCCTTTCTTAGCCTTGGGGCATTGCTGACAAAGATCAGACAAAGAAAGAAAACAAAGCTGACTTTGGTCCCAAAGGGCTCTTCTCAATGTCCCTAACCCCCAACTTTTCTTTGAAAATCGAGAAATTTCATAAAGCCAAGGGCACGTGCATTCTCAGTTTGAATAAATGCCTCATTAGTGCAATATCACTTCCTTTTAGCATTAAGACTATCTTGCCTATAATCTTCTTTCTCCTAGACTGAGTCCACTTTCTATCAGAGTCTGAGTGTATGGATCAGGGCTAATTTGCTTGTGAGGTTTAGAAAGTGGGGTTCTTTAGTAACTTCTGCAGAGCATCAAGGAAAGCCTTGTTTTAGTTTTTTTTTCCTTTCTTTTTTTTTTCTTTTTTTATTCCCTCCTAGTGTTCCCCCATTGGGTGCCATGAGCCATGAATTAAGAGTTGGCTTTGGTCTTTTGCAAGGCGGGTCTGGGTTGTGTCTTCCTTCAGGGTGGGTTAGAGGTCTTCTCAGACCGAAGTTTCCATGTCCATTTGTACGTTCAAAACCCTGATTATTTTCTCTACCCATAGGCCTGGAGTTCAAGGACAAGGGTGGCTTTTCTGAGAAAATCAGACAGGAGACTCTTAGAATAAACATCTTGGCATTCATTCCATGACCCCCATTTACTTCAAAGGGCTGTTAAATACAGCCAGGGCTGAGCGCACGGGGCAGAGCTGGCTTCTGCAAGGGGCCTGCTTCGTCTGGCACACAGGCTTCTGGGGCTAAGGCTCACTCCAAACTTGGCTGCCCTGTCCCACTTCCCTCCTCCAGAATTCCAGCCCTGCAACCTATCAATCATGAGGGCTACCTTTACTTCATTCATTTGCAAGGCTCTGGTCAGACTGCCGAGGCTGTGAAAGACAGTGGTCAGCACCAGGCGTGCAAGAAAACTCAGGATCACGCCTGAGAAAAACATGAACCCCTAAAACTGGATTTGCGGCGTCAACCCATCTCCTCAGCAGCCGGATCAATAAAAATAAAAAATAAAAATGAGAAACCTAGCCCCGTCCCCTCAGGTATTCTTTAAAGAAGCCACTCATGGCGTGGAGCTCTGACAGGTGAAGACAATTACCTGATATTTCACCTCAAAAGTCTTAAAAGGACAGAATCTTCCACTTTGGGTTGTTCACAGATCATCTACAGCAGCTCCAAACTCAAAGTGAGCAAAATAGCAAAGTCTTGCTGACCTTTGAGAGACTTTTTAGCAATTTCTCTGAGGTGGGGAGAGAAGGTTGAGGTCAGGGCAGTGAACCCCAGTAAGTGGAGATGAGCATGTAGGACACTTTGTGACAGGAAGACTGCAGCCAAGACAAGATCTCTGCTCTCTGTGGTAATATCTTAGCAGCAAACCATTTTTTTTCCTCCCCTCTTGTTTGTTTCCAAATATTTTTTCTTATGTGGTGCATCTGGTTGCTAATGTACATAGTTCTCACCTTGACCAACTCCGCAAAGATTTCAAGAGCCTCCTAGTAACTGTTAGTGGGAATATCTATAGCCTGTCTATGAGTAACCCTAACACTGGCATTTAAAAAGAGAGGTAGGAGCCAGTAAGTCATCTTCTAGGTTTTTGGACCCCAGAAATTATTTTCAAAACATAGGATTTATTAAGAAGCAATGGGCATAGTGAAATTGAAAACTATGAAATCAGAAAAATGCAAAGTCCTTGCATGTGGGTGTTAACATTGTTTATGGTTAATTTTGTTGCTTTTGTACCCATTGGTTTACAATCCTGGCTATTTCGCAGTACTCATCAAACTGAGACATATGCTGAAAAATATCCCAGAAAATTTATATGGTGAAACTCTGAAAGCTGTACCCTAATTATTTAAATAGATAACTAGCAAGATTTTGTTTCCCAGGCAAAAGCTTTAGCATTTTCCCAACCCTATGTTCTATCAGTTAAAAAGCATAATTTAAAACAAACAGTGAAAATTCTTCAAAAAATTATTCAAAGTCTAGGGGAATTAAAACTATGATTTAAATAGAAACTATACATAGCTTAAAATTAACACAATTTTAAAAATTGAAAGTACAGAAAAGCAGATACAGAAGTTCCATCGATTCAGGCTCATTTGGCTGGAAGGAAACCACCGTTTATCTGGGTTTATCACAGTCTCTGCAAAACCGTCCCAGACAGGTGTGTATCTGACTGATTTTCAAATCATCGGACACCTTCTCAGGTGGCCTCCTATCTCCTGCTCCCCCTCCAGGTCTTGACAACTGCCTGTGTTTTCTAGGTTTTGCATCTTGCTGTTTCAGGGCAGGTTTCTGTGCAGGCTAATGGATCTCAGCCAAACACTCCCTAATTCTTGCTACCATCTAGCGGTCAACTCAGAGCCTGCAGGGCACATTAGGGAGGAGATGAGAGAGGTAGGGGAGCAGGAGGAAGAGGAATGATGCCGTTTCTGGACCCAAGGATGCACAGAATGAGTATTTTAAAGAGCAAAAAAAATGACCAGAGCTGCATACACCTTCTGCATCCTGATTAATGTAAATAATGATTTTCAGTTGCTCAGTATGTACCCCAAATGAACAGAAGTTACGTAGACAAGAGCAAAAACACCTTCAAAATAGTCTACTGACTTCGGGATGGAGAGTGAGAAAAACCTGTGAGCTGGTCCTTACTTCTTGGTCATCTTGAGCCTCTGTTTAGAGTGATATCAAATGAAGGAACTCTAAGGGGGAAAATGTGACATCTACCAAATTTGACAATATTTCAAGGATCCGCCTGTTTCAGTTTATTCAGGTGCCTTTGGTTCAGGAAAAAGAGTTATGCTTGGTTAAAATTCTTGTAGCTCGGAACTGCTGCTAAAGCAATCACAAAACCACAAGCTCACGAAGCGCTGGAGCCTGGGGCAGGGAGCTCCTGCATCTGAGCCCCTCTGATCCCACTGGAAGGGACCATTTAACCTTTTGCCAGATTTAGCTGAGTTCTGTAGGATCCTGGGCACTCCCTACGTTTCTAGCATTACCCAGCTAAGTCCCACAGGATGGAAAACAAAGCTTTGAGCTCGGAAAAAAGTAGTGCTTATTGAAGGGCAAAGACCACTGAAAACTCTGAACATTTTTGAAGCATTTGTGCAACTCACGGCAGGACAAGTGGCCACAATGAAATGCGTTGTTTTAAATCACAGGTTTCAATGACCACACTGTTTTCAGCTGTCCTCCCTGGTTTGTCTAAGTGGTTTACCAGGAGTCTGAACTCCTGTTCCTGCTGGTCACAGTGAGTAAAGGAACTAGGAATTTTAGGTAAGCTGTTGATGCCACCTGCATGCACTGGCTTTGGGCCTGCTGTGCCCTCCTAGGCAGAGCCAACGCCACCGTCTTGCAGTCTCTGTGGGACAGGTGTAGGTTTGCATGAGCTAGCTATCAGGATTTGGATAAACCGGTCATATAATGAAGCCGGCAACTGTCTCCTTGGTCCCTCCAACCCAGGTTTGAAGGTGTCATTTTCTTTTCCTGCTTCTCTCTTCTTTTAAATATCATTTATTGGTTTATATTGGCACCCTCCCCCCTTGGCGATACTGGCACTGGAATGACCGGAGTAACACTCACTTAACTGTCTAATCTCATCAGATCAGAATTTTTAAGCATATAGATATTAGAGGATGACAAGATTTGACCCATGACTTATGCAAAATTGAGAGAGATAATTATTATGCCGAGAAAAATCCCTTAAAAGGATGTTTCTGATCTTGCTACTACTATTTCCATTAAACCTCTTAAGGCCCACAGGGTTACCTGCTTAACATCTGACCTTTGCCCCTGTTGCTTTGTATTTTCATGCCACAAAAACCATGCTACTTACAGTTTTATAGCATCCCCTTATAATTTCTGTGGTATAGCGTACAGAAATATAACCCCCACCATCTGTCTACACAACTGACATTCTGTCTAAGACGCCTTCCATGCTGCCCTGCAGTTTACCAGCCCTCTGCTTTGCACGGTCCTGGCCCATGTATGCCGCTAGTGTCTCAGTTTTATTCTAATCCGGCTACTCATCACATGCTCCTCTGCACTATGAGCGGGGGAGCCCCTTGATGTTCTGGGTGCTCCTTGGCTCTGGACCCCCTGTTGTGAGGCTGCAGATCAGTTGAAGTGTGGTGAACTGAACTGAATCTCTCATGGAACCCAGAGAAGCCCTCAGACAGCATTCCCAGATAGTTCAAGGTTTAAGTAGACACGAGGAGTCCCTCTCTTACCTTCCTTCCAGCTATGTAACCTCCCGAGGCTCCAAAGCTTTTGGTGAATGTGCCCATAAGCACATCGACATCTTGAGGGTCCATTCCAAAGAATTCCACTACACCCCGGCCAGTCGGGCCCACAGACCCAATACTGTGAGCTTCATCAATGTAGAGGTAAGCCTTGTATTTCTTCTTTAGAGCCACGATCTGGGGCAGATTCACAATGGAACCTTCCATGCTAGGGCATAAGGAGAAATGCTTGTCACTGTGTGTACCCTCCTGGGAAGCTCTGGTCAGTCTCCCTTTCAGTATTTCTCAGACGGCCTGCCCTGATACCAGCCAGGGACCACAGGATGTGCCACTCCTTTCTTCTCAAGGGATATTTTATTTGGATGAGATAGCCTTCTCAGTCTTATAAGGCTAATCTGGCAGTATTTCATATGAAAAGATAATTTACATTCAGTGGGTTTAAGTGCTTTGAGTTGTTAGAGCTAATTCCCAAGTCAACAGTTAGCTCACAGCATTGTTGATCAATTTATTTGTAAAGATGACTAGTTTAATTAGACTGACTGACATTATGGATTTGGGGTATTTTGCTAGCTTTAATTCAGTTGCTCTAGGTGATCATCCTGACCAGCCTGCCACTGTCTACTTGGCCAGTTCCCTCTGACCTAAACTCAGCACTTGAACTGCTAAGATTGAACGAAGGAGTAAAACCACACAAAATAACTTCATTTAGGACACACAGTATTAATTAAAGCATAATAAAAAGTTCTTAGAACCTCTTGTTCATTTAGCCACCCCCAATTATCCTTGGGGGCTATGTCTGAAGACCCCCAGTGGATGCTTGAAACCAAGGGTAATCAGAGCCCTATATATAATGCGTTTTTTTCCCTATACATACATATCTATGATAAAGTTTAATTTATAGATTAGAACAGTAAGAGAGTAACAACAATAACTAATGATATGATAGAACAATTATAACAATACACAGTAATAAAAGTTATGTGAATGTGGGCTCTCTGTCTGACAGCTGGTCTGGTCACTGAGACGACTGCCAAGTGACTGAGAGCTGGAGAGAGTACACAGTGTGGATACTCAGGACAGAAGGAAAATTCACGTCCTGGGTGGAATGGAGCATTTCATCATGTTACTCAGAATGGTGTGCAAATTAAAACTTGTGAATTGTTTATTTCTGGAGTTTTTCCATTTAATGTTTTTGGACTGTGGTTTACCAGATGTAACTGAAATGGCGGAAAGCAACACTGGATGCCGGAGACTACTGTACTCATTGGAAGTCAAGGGTTCCTTTGAAGCATCTGGTTGTGTCTCCTCTTTCTGTCCCTTTGGGGCCATGGTTCTCAGTCTGGAGTGAGCACCAGAACCCCCTGAATGGTTTATTAAAGCACAGATCTCTGGGCCCCAACACCAGAGTTTCTAATCTAGTAGGTCTGGGATGGGCCGAGAATATGCGTTTCTACCAAGCTCCCAGGAGGTGCCCATATTGCTCACTGGGGACAACACTTGAAGAACCACTGCTGTAGATAAACTGTTTTGTTTTAGCCCCAAGTGCTTAATTTTTCATGGTTTTATAAGCCACAAAAAACACTTCAAGTTCTCCAGCAATGGGAAAAATATGAAACGAATAAGTAAGTAAAATTATAATTTATGTTTACACGGCACCTCTGGAACTCAGTGGATTTAAAAGGACTTTTGACTTTATTCAGTTCTCAGAACACTCGGTAAGCTGTGTCTCCGTCGCACACAGTTTTGACTGCATTGACAGGCGAGTTCTATGAAAACACAGACTCGCACCCTCACCACACAAAGGAGTTTGTCAAACAATTCAAGCAGCCCGTCAGTTTTGTTCAAGAACTAATCAACTGACGCAAACAGAGAGGTGAACATTTCCTTTCTTCCTAATTAGTTTATTTATTAAAGTTAATACATTAAAAAAAATAAACTTAAGTGTTAGGTCAATTCAGTCAAAACAGTCCGGCTGGTTGTACAATTACCCAGACCAATGGTGTTGGTTTGGAGGGAGTGTGATGATCGAGTGTGTGTGTGTGTGTGTGTGTGTGTGTTTAAAGGGCTTCATTTTTTAGAGCAGTTTTAGGTTCATAGTAAAATTGAGCAGGAGATACAGAGATTTCCCGTATACTCCATGCCTCACACATATGTATAACCGCCCTATGATCAACCGCCCCCACCAGAGTGGTATGTTTGTTACAATCGATGGGCCTGCATTGACACATTACCACCCAAAGTCCATAGTTTACATTAGGGTTCACTTTTGGTGTATATTCTATGGGTTTGGACAAATGTATATATAATGACATGTATCCATCATTATATCATACAGACGATTTTCACTGCCCTAAAAGTCCACTGTGCTCTGCCTATTCATCCCTCACCCACCCAGTCCTTGGCAACTGCTGACCTTTTTATCATTTCCATATTTTGTCTTTTCTGGAATGTGCCATACGGTTGGAATCATACACTATGTAGGCCTTTTTGGATTAGCTTCTTCCACTTAATAATGTGCATTTAGTTTTTTTTCTGTCTTTTCATGACGTGGTAGTTAATTTCTTTTTAAGACTGAATAATATTAGACTGTCTGGATGTACCAGAGTTTATGTATCCATTCACAGACCAAAGGCACTTTGGTTGCTTCCAAGTTTTGGGCAATTATGAATAAAAATGCTGTAAAGATTTATGTGCAGGGTTTTGTGTGGACACACAGTTTCAGCTCTTTTGGGTAACTACAAAGGAACATGATTACTGGATTCTGGATAAGGGTATGTTTAATTTTGTAAGAAATTACCAAACTATCTACCAGAGTGGTTGTACATTTTGCATTTTCACAGCAACAAATGAGAGTTCCTGTTGGGACACATCCTCGCCAGCACTTAATGTTGTCAGTGTTCCAGATTTTGGCCATTCTACTAAGTGTGTAGTGGTATCTCATTGTTTTAGTTTGCATTTCTCGGATAATATATGTGGAACATCTTTTCATATGTATATTTGTACCTGTAAATCTTCTTTGGTGAGGTGTCTGTTAAGGTCTTTGGTTCATATTTTAATTAAGTTGTTTCCTTATTGTTGAACTTAGAATTCTTTTATATTTTAGATAACAGTCCATCAGATGTATCTTTAGCAAATATCTTTCCCTGTCTATGGCTTGTCTTCTACTTCTCTTGACACTGTCATTTGCAGAGCTGAAGTTCTTAATTTTAATGAAGTCCAGCTTATTGCATTTGTGCTTTACACAGGTTGTTCTGAATGGCTGTTTTCAAGTTTTAATGAAGTGAAGACTGAATAGAATCATCTTCTCTTCCATAAGTCTGTGAGTTAATTCCAATATTTTCTTAGATCAATTGCTTGCTAAAGTTGTTTCCACTGATATACAGCCATCTGACTGCCTAAGCTTAGGTTGTGTCCATACCATTTACTAATTGAGTGTGTGGGCAACTTGCATGATGTTCTGTGCCTCAGTTTTCTCATATGTAAAATAAGCATGCTGATGGGACCCTCCTTATAGCGTCTTTATAAGAGTGATGAGAAATAATGCTGATAAAGCATCGGACACATGAATGCACTCATTGGGTTGTTCCTGTTCTTAGGAGAAGCCTAGGAGGAAATGGTGCAATAGGCCTAACTTGAGAGAGTGGGGGCCCTTGACAATGCTCTGTGTTGCATCTTCTAGGAAAGAGGCATATGGGTGTCATACATAATAAATGGCTCGATGCCCTCAAAATTCTAGAATTTTCTTCTCATCTTTAAAATGTTTTAAGTCGGTAACACAAATATACTAAGAACCTGACATGTCACAAATAACCATTCTTTGTTCTGGAACTGAATTTGGCAGGAGCCAGAGTTAATGTTGAACAGTTTGCAGACACTCCGGGCAGCTAATTAGCCATCCTTCGCCGGGGCTGGTCTAGCTGATGTTAGGAGTCTGCCCACCTGGTTTATATTTCTCCCTGTAAGATTAATGACTCTACGATACTGCTGATTTCTGGAGTTAGTGCAGGGCACACTTGAGCCTAAGGAGAACTCAGCTTTTATAAAGAGTTATATTCACTCGCACTAATTTTTCATTTTCTCATTGTGACCCAGTTTGAATGGAACCTTTCCCTACAGTGGGATGTGAGGTTGGTGCACGCATAAAAGGCTACCTGTGCTATTCCTGAGAATTGCTGTCCAAACGATATGGAAAACAAGAAGAGTGTTTATTCTTTTTTTCTGAACGGAAAGTTGTGTTTTCGCTTGACTTCAGTAGAAGAAACTTAACTAAAATACGCTGTAGGTAAGATAATTCCACCACTCTGTGCAGTGTGAATTATCCTTAAGCCAGCAAGCCAGTGAATAATTCCTTTATATCTTTTCTATTACATAACGTATTAGCTAAGTGACAAGACTCCTTTTAGAAATCTCCCTCTCACCACCCTTCTCCACATATAAACTACACTATCCACTTGCAGGACTGGGAATTAAAGCAGTGGTCTGCCAACTTGCATGGTGGAAAAACCTCCTTGGTGGGCCCAAAGTATAACCCCAGAGAAGAAAGAAGGGTAGCAAGAGGGAGCAAAAAGAGCTAAGACTGATTAAAAATAAGGTAACTAGTGTTTTCTTATCTTTGCCTTTATTTGTTTAAGAGATAGGGGCATAGGTTAGAGATGCCACTGAAGTTCCCAGTCCTTAAACCCACATTATTTTGAGGAGGAGAATGGCTTACATTCTTAGAGAAAACTGCATTCTGAGACTTCAGCATTTCTTTGTATATGTGTGTTTGAAGGGCTGGATATTATTTCTTGGTTAATTTTATTTTGAAAGTCTGTGTTATAGCTATGCTAGTTTATATCTCAGGTTATCTGGGGACCCCTCTCCCCTTCTTTAGTATATTTTTGAATAATTTTGAAATTTCTCAATCACAGTGAGTCAAAAATTAGACTTCTCAGAGACACAAAATTGGAAGAGTGTGACTTTAAAACACTACTTAAAGGGAAATACGAATCAGAACACTAAAATATTGCTATTGTACTTTTAAACCAAAAATCATGGAGTCATGGAACTTGAGTCTTCAAGTTTCAATCTTCCTATTTTACAGGTAAGGAAAATAAGCCTTTGATAGGTAAATGCTGAAAGTCAAATGGATGACCTTGTAGTTTCCATGTTTACTTCATCAGATGTGGACACATTAGCTGACTCTCCTGTTTACATTGGGCCTCTGTCCCAGCAGGGCCGCCTGGTTTGAATCCCTGCTCTGTTTCATCTCAGTTATCTGCCCTGGGGCAAGCTGTCCAGGCCTCGGAGCCTCAGTGTCTTCATCCTCACAATAACCTCAAGAGGCTTGGGGAGGCTTACTCAGGATGGCATATGTGAAATGTTTAGCAAGAAGTAGAAACACGATCAATGTGAGTTCCTTCCTCTGACAACCCTTCTTGAAGTGGGTGAAGAGCACATGGCTTTGCTACACGGATGGCTTAGTTTCCAAGTTGCAAATTCCTCAACTGAAAATAAATTTAATGATGAAGGAAGCTACCCTTGGTTGCAGGCTTACTATGGGCTGGGCTTCGGCAAACTCTAGTTTATATGACCTCATTTAATGCTTACAAAAGAACATTATGAAGGGCACTCAGCTGTAGGCAGCAACAAGATTTGAATCCAGGTCCCAGGCCTTCTTCCAAATCCTGACTTTTCCATATTCTATATGTAAATAATAACATGTAGATGATTTATGGATGGTGACATTACTGTTGTCGTTATTATCATCATAACTGCTTTTGTGGAGCTTACTGACTTCTTGGCCTTGGTATCTAGCCTTCTCTACCTGTTAGCTGCCTGAAGCTTGCTGATTTGTCTGACTGCTCTGTTAAAGTTATGAAAATATTGATTTATGTGACCTCTCTGTGGTGGGAGGACTTTGCCCAGGGTGGGAAACCACAAGCAAGAGATAAAAGAAATCTGGAAGTGAAAGTTCAAGGGAGGCTTCCTGTAGATATCAACAAGGTATGTGGTCACAATACATCTCTGAAAAGCAGCAGTGTGGTTGTAAACGATGGATGTCACATTCCTAACCCTGGCCCTTTGGGAAATCTTTTGGGAAATAATTTCATTTTCTGGTGACAGCATCAAATGAGAACACCCATATGTTCCAGAACTCTACTCTAGGCTAGCCCTAATTTACAGATGAGAAAACTGAGGCCCCAGGAGGTACTGAGGACTGTAAGAGGTCCTCTGTTTCCTATCTATGAATGAAGCCTTTTAGTTCACAGTCCCCACTTAAGGACAAGATTTCTGTGCAGGTGAGATAAAAGGAACCTCTCTGTGACAGCAAGGCCATGGGAAGTGGACATTTCACTGTGTACACATGCCAGGTTCATGGAGCCGTTGGGGTAGATTCCCACCAAAGGTGACTTCCCACAAGTCTTCCCATCCCTGCACACACAAACCAGTCCTCCCACCAAGAGGCCAACTCTGTTTTCCCTCCTTTTGAATCTGGGCTGGCCTTGTAACACGTTTTGGTCATTAGAGCATAGCAGGAGTGACACTGTACCAGTTCTGGGCCTAGCACTTAAAAGGCTGGCAGCTTCTGCTTTCCTTCTACTGGAATCCAGCCTCCATGTTGTAAGGAAGCTCTGGCTGAATGAGGCGAGCCTACATATAGAGAAAGCCCCCCAGGGAAGAGAAGTGAACCAGGCACCTCAGTCAACAGCCAGTACCAAGAGCCCAAATGTGTGAGTGAGGTCGTTACGGATGTTCCAGCCCCAGCTGAACTCCCAGCATAAACACAGCCCCATGAATGGCCCCTAACCAGCACCACATGGAGCAGAAGAACCACTCAGTTGGTCCAGACAGAGCACGGTAGTGTGGGAAATAACAGCTCATTGCCGTGTAAGCCATTATATTTTGGGGTGGTCTGTTATGCAGCAATAGATAACAGAACAGGCATCTTAACTAGAGAGGCCTAAGTTGTGGTTTGGCGCCACTCTGGCTTAGAACCAGAAGTCCACAGCCGGTTCCCCTGTCCTCCTGAGGTCACGGTAGGACCCAGGCCCAGTGTAGCCATGAGCAAGCGCTGCTGCTGGAGTGATTTTTCTTGTTACTGACGGGAATATCTGAGAGTAAAATGCTGGTGGCCCACTTAATTTCAGCTATGATCAAAGTGCTTAAAATGCAACTTTCCTTCAGTGGAGTCAAGTTCTATTTATTTTCAGTTGGATTCCTTTTACTCTGGTTAACAGAGATGCCCAGCCTGCTCTCCCTCAGCTGATAGGTCTTCCTGCTATTCCAGGCCCGAGTGACAGGTGTTTAGATAAGGGCTCCCCTCCAGGCTGGCGGCTGGCCCAAATCCCATAGGAAGAATGATCTATGCTTGCAGTTATGACAACCTAGAGGCAATATGAGATTACTTCCTAAAAGAAGCAAGTTCAGGGCCAGCGAACAGTTCAATTATCCTGCAGCAGGGGTCTCCAACCTCAGCCCTGTTGACATTTGAGCTGGATAGCTCTTTGTTGTAGGGGACTATTCTGTGCACTATGAGATGTTTGGCATCATCTCTGGCCTTTGCCCACTAGATGCCAGTGTGTTCTGCAGTTGTGACAACTGAAAATTGCCAAGTGTGCCTGGGATGGAGAGCTAGTTGTGGGTGCGATATCACCCTAGTTGAGAATGCTGCTCTAGGGTGACCCCAGAGATTTCTTAAACAGGACATATCCGAGGAGTCCCGATAGGTAATGCAGAGGGTGGCCTACTAGCAACTTGAAGTGTCAACTTCACAACCCCACAGTAACACTGGAGACATCCAGGCCACCAACCACCGGGCAATAAGTACGAGAGGGAAAAAGTGATACTAGGATGATGATAATTTTAAATTAGGGAGAATGCACTTTCCCCCCCAAATAGATGGAGACACATTTCGTCTGCTGCTTGTCATATATTTTTGTAAGAGGAACAGCGTGCGTGCCAGGACCAATGAGACGAGCTGGCTGAAAGAAATGCTGCTTCTGCTCTGAAATCTCCTTTGCGGCCACATTCTGTGTTGGGAGCTGAAGCCCCCATTCCCTTCCTTCCCATGTTTCCCACTTTCCTATCACTACCTCATAGGAAACGTCTTCCTCAGTTCCTCTAATATTAGGGTGGTTTGAGGATTGCTTGAGCAGTGAGCAACTCTGAGATAATGTGTCCTTGACTCTTGGCCTGGGGTATCCGACAGCAGGAAAGCTTGGAGGACATGTCCATTTCAGTAACGCTAATCAGCTCAGACAGAGAATGAGGCCAACTCAGTCACAAGCTGCGATATAAGGGTTCGGCTCTGAGAGGCTTTAATGGGGTGTTTCGTCCGCTCAGCTCAAAAGACGCGAGAAAGCTCAGGCTAGAGCATACCTCCTGATGCCAAGACCATTCCCCCATCCCCAGCTCTCTATGGAGACTTGCTCTTCAGGTTGAGGAAATGAGCAGGACTTTTGTTTTCTGATACCAACCATTGGCCAAGTTCAGCAAGCAACTGGAGGTTGGGTGCACTGCCCAGTTAGGGGCATCCAGGTGCCCATGGGCAACATCGACTAGGGTTGTAAAGGCAAAGAGCATTCTGGTGTTGGATCACCTGCCCCCCAAAGGCCTTTGAAACTGTGGGGCAGCCAAAGGTTGAGGAAAGAATCAAAGCAAGTCAGCGGTGCCCTGTGAGGATATTTCTGAAGAAGTCTTCACAAGCACGCCAGCCTCCAAGATGCTCCGCCACATGTATAGTCATGAAAAAGACAGGTGACCCAAGGCCTGACAGCTCACATGCATCGCTCTAGCTCAGATCCCTCCACCAGCTCTATCTCTAACCCATTTTCCCCTCTAGCTAGGAGAGGTCAGCCTTTCCCCACTGGTGAGCATGCAGTGGGCTCCATTGTGTTCGAATGTCTCCGGTTATTTACATACCTGTAGACACCCTCCACCAAGATGAGAATCTTTTTCCAAGCTCTGTGGGTTCGAGGTTGGCCATAGATTACCGCATCTCTCAGGTGCTTCTCTAGGCTTTGCATGTCTTTAAATAATACAAAAAAATAAATAAATAAATATTGAGTCAGGAGAGGAATTATTTTTCCTCCCTTGTTATCTTTTCTGGGGGAGGTGCCAGAGTTTTTAGGCTCAGGCTGAGACCTGAACTTTCAGGGAACAAAGTTAGAATCAGAGAACACCTGGGGGATAGAGGGATCCATTTTTTTAGTAAAATTGGAGTTTGACAAGGTGACTAGTTGAGTTTGTACAACAGGCAGAATAAACTCTGGCGGAGGCGCAGGGCTCATAGGCTCTTCGAAGGCTCCACTTCCTGCCTTAGCAGAGACTGAAATTCTGCATTAACTGCATCTCTTAGACGTAAGCTTTCTTGCCAGGTTGAAAGGAACCCTGTGAGGTATAATTAGCTAACACTGGTTTTGAAGAGACGAGCACGTCAAGGTTTAGCTGAGTCTGCAGGGGTGGCCGGCTCACTTCCTGTGCTTTGAGATCTTCCACCTTCAGAGCTGTCAACACTTCAAGGCAGTGGGACAGTTAGCCTTTCTTTGCAAAATGTTCGGAGACTTCTGGACATATTAATAACAGTTACAACTTTCGAGCCCTATCTGCGGTCCTTCCAAGCACATTCTTCGTAATAACTAATTTACTCCTCTCACTGACCCTGAGGAGGAGGTCTCTGCATCTTATGGCTTAGGAAACTGAGGCACAGAGAGATCTGGTAAATTGCCAGAGGTCTATGCTCATGAACAGCAGACCCAGGATTGGAACCCATGCAGTCTTGTACCTGACCCGCATTTGGAACCACTACCTTTTCTGTGAGAGCCCCCGGCCTTCTCACTCTCTGTAGTGATGTACAACCAGGAAGGTTGAATATCTAATAGATTTTTCTTCTTAACTTTGGATGGCAAATATAGTTAATAGTGACTTTTCATTTATCTGCATTTGGATGTAGATGACTGGGCTTTGGTTGACAGACCTTTGGGAAAGATTTGCCTACCAACCCTGCTGTGTGTGTGTCTCTCTGTATGAGTGTGTGTGGGGAGTCGACCTGCAAAGCCTAGAGAGGAAGAAAGGCAGAGATTTATGTGCATGTTTTTTACACTCATTATATTTCTACTAGATTTCTTTGCACCCCCTAAGCTCTCCCTTTTTGAGGATCTGAGACTGAAGTACTTTAGACCTAGAATGCAATTTTAATTGGAAAAGATAGGGATGCTACCGAGCTGCTGACTAGACTTACATAATAGTCACTAGGCATTAGAGATCCCATTTAAAATGCTCACCAAGAGAAGCCTAGTAAAGATAAATCTAAAACAGCATAGTCAATATTGGTTTTAGCCACTGCACACAAGCTCTCAAGAGGCAGGTTTGTCACTGGTCTAAACTCAACTTAGCTGAGACTCCTGGTCTCAATGGAGAGCCTCAAGTTTGTCTTTTAGTCCCCAGTCTGTGGTTGGATCTGCTTTTGGGTCTCCCGCCACCCCCACAGCTGGGTGAATTCCACACTGCAACCCCCCAGTGAGGCTACAGGTATTTCTTTGAAATAAAATTGTAGAGGTATCAATGGTATTTTTTAATTGATCAAATACATTTGAGCTAACCACAGGCAGAATTGCATGACATTTAAAGCATGATTTTTTTACTTTGGAGTTTTTCATTTACTATGTCTGATCACAGTGGACCAAGGGTAACTGAACCCGTGGAAGTGAAGCCGTGGATAACGGGGGGACTATTGTAGTTACCTAACGAAGTCTTGAAGGCTTTCCTGACCTAACTCCTGCCTATCTTCCTGCCACAGTCTCTCAGTGTCCCCAGTACACAGCCTCCCAACTGTCCTTTATGCTTTCCCCTCATGTCTGCCTGGAGAACACTCATATCACTCAGCCTCAACTCAAATTCTTCTGGCCGATATAATATAGATTTTCTTTCTTCTTGGTGTCCCTGATGACTCATCTATTCTTTTATAAAAGCACTCATCACACTTCTCATTATTCCATTTCGTGTGTCTCGTCCATGGAAGGCAGGGACATTATTTTATTTAATTCTATAGCCCTGGTCCTAGTGCACAGTATTAGTGCTAAATCCATGTTTGATAACTGAATCAGTTGTCTCTTGGTGAAACAGAATGTAGGCCAGGAAACAGGAAAGAGAATGACACCTAGGAACTAACTGAATTTTTAGAAAAGCCTCATGTCTGCAGTAATATTTCTTTAATTAACTGTGTTTTTGCTTTTGCTTTGAAGAGTCGGTCTTCCCAGATGTAGTGTGTTTTATTGGCACTATATAATTAACCACTAGATGGCAGCCAAAGAAGGAAAAAGCAGCTTTCTTATTTTGAGAATTTCAGGGGTAATGAAGCTTCACCTGCACTGACGTCGTCATGGTTTTCACTTTTGCTTTAAGACATTGAAGGGACCCCTGTGATTGGGGGGAACCAGCTTCCTGTCCTATAATGTACCACAACCCTGTTAATCTCTGAATGGAGTAAAGAAGTGATGCAAGTTTCTGTTTAGTGTTTTTCTTCTGGGACTTTGAATTTAGAAATGATCCATGATGAGCATGGTTCATTAGAAGTCATTTAAAAAGGAATATTCTAGATTTTGAAAAATCTGGACATGAAGAGATTTTTGTATTGTTTATGCAATCAAAAAGATCACAGACGTAGTATAGCTTAGTCCAGGGTTAAATTTAAACCAAACACCGCTAAAGAGAAGGGCAATGTCTCTCCACTTTTTAAAGAACAAGCAGGCCCTGAAAATGAGCCTTTATATGGCCATGTGATTTATGCAGTTTGCAGAAGGAAGGCAGAGGAGCCCCAGCCCTTCCTTGGCAGGGGCCTCACCATGTTCGGTGTGAGTGGAGAGAGTTCCATGGGGAGAGGCTTTTGGTGGAACTTCACAGGACCCCTGGTGTCCACATCCTGGAGCACTTGAGCAGAGGGAAAATCAATCAGCAAGTTTGATTGTTGGGCACAAACTCACCGACCTCTTTGAGTCACAGAAACTTGACAAGGAAAAGGATGATTTCACCCAGCGTGGGTTTCTGGGCCCGTGTCAGCATCTGGTAGTTTCTCTCTAATTCTTACGGTCTTGACCTATCATCCTACCGCATGCAGGCCACAGGCCCGTAGGGTTCTGGAGACTGGGGCTTATGTTCTGCAGGCCTTCTGAGGTTCTGTTTTAGCAAGCGACATACTAACATCTGCATGGGACTTTAAATAGTGACGTTTATTAAAGCACTTATACTTGCATTCTGTTAATCCTCATGACAGCTCTGAGAAGTAGGGATGATTAGGTGTCTGTTTTTTCAGATGAGCGAACTAATAATGCCAGAAGGTTTATAAAACCAACAAATACAGCCCTCTCCCCAAAACAAAAACAAAAACAAAAACAAAAACAAATCCCAAACCCAAACAAAGCACCTTCTTGTTGGGGTATAAAGAAAACGCTGAGATATGGAAATTAAAGGAATAAATTTCATGCCGCCAAGGCGCACATACATGGCGCTATTGTACAATGTCGTCATAAAGCTGTAACAACACACTATGGACTTGTAATCACCACAAACGTGAGTACCAACAAAGCCTTAGATATTATTTGTCACTAAGTCTGGCTCACCGAGGCTGTTCCCTTTGGTTTGGGAAGGGCTGAGAGGAGCAAGATGGCCTGGCGGGTGATGAGCATCCAGCTACCAAAAGTGCAAGCGTGGAGCCCACATTCTGGTGGCCGGCGCAGAGCTAGTCCTGGTCTGTCACAGGCGTGGCTCCTGGACTACTGAATTACTAAATACCCAGAATACTCAAACTATGTGCCAAAAACTAGAACCAGGCTTAGGTGACAAATACGCTCTGAGAACTTGTTCTTGGGCCTGCCCTAAATTCAGAGTCTCTGGGATCTGGGGAAGCTGCAGATAAGATCCTGTGAGAACAGGCCACGAGGAAACAAAGAAGCCAAGCACAGTCTTCTAAGCAGAAAGTCTGGGTGCAGTTCGAAGAGTGTCCTCCAGAAGATAAGAACTGGACCTTTGGCTTTGTTCTTGCTTAGCTGTACAGGACAGCACTGTTGCTTCTGCCAAGGCTTCCTACTTCCTTTTCTCTTATGCAACCAAGCTTTTGTTGAAACATGAACACTCTCCTCAGCACCCTGTTTCCTCTCTGGATCCAGGGCCCATCGTCCTGGCTGGGAGGAATGTCAGCTTCCACTTTTCATACGCTGCCCAGTGTGGTTGGTGGTTCATCCATTGTCATCCAAAGCTCCACAAACCCTACCTCTAGCTGCATTTAGAGACACCCTCTGGTTTTCTATTCCATGGGCTGAATGCCAAAAATATGTTCCTGCCTGCACATGATAAGCACTCAACAGCTATTGCTTAAGTGAAAATATGGTTGGGTGATGATGAAATGCTGCTGGTTATTTTTTATAATTCCTTGGTCCCCATCTTCTCTCCCATTCTTTTTGTTTTTCCAGAGATTGAAAAACCCAGTTTCATCCTTCAATACTGAGCTCAAATGTGAAATACTAAGCAACAGTTACTTAAATAACTGTGAACAATGATAAATAAACTATTTTTACTTTTAAGTCTGCCCCTTGTTTAGCCTTTGGGGGAAAGCATTATCATGATGGCCAGCTTTGGCAAGCAAAACAAATGTTTTTCTCAAAGTCACATTTATAGAGTCTCTTTTCCACAAGATCAATGAGTGCATTTCTGATGCATTGAAAATTTGATGCTTTAAATTTTGCAAAGCAGTTTGGGCAAATACTTTGTGGTTCTGGTTTTCTTAATGGCTCTGTAAATATGTGGGCAGGTGTTGCATGGCCTTTGGTATGTAGAAGAAGCAAAGGATCTTCTTGGAAGAATGCAGAAGGCAGCTGGGAGCAGAGGACCTGGACTGGGTTTGAGAGTGAGACAGGTACTAGGGCAGGGCCTGTGTACCTTGAAGAGGTGGTGGTGGGAGGGCAGTCATACTTACAACTCTGACCTTGGGGACATGGAATGAAGACTAGGCAGAGCCAAAAGCATGAGCACAGT